GAGGCAGAACACGAGTAGCATTGCAGACTCTTCAGGAGCATCAGTTATATGTTAAGTTTAGCAAATACGGGTTTTGGTTATCAAAAGTTAGATTTCTCGGCCACGTCAACAGCAGAGAGGGCATGACAGTGAATCCGGTTAAGTTTACAGCAATTCTTGTTTTGGAACCACCAAAGATGGGATAGAGATTTGAAGCTCCTTAGGTTAGCCGGTTATTACAGGAAGATCATCATAGACTTTTTGAAGATTTCGGCGCCACTTACACGCCTTACGAAGAAGGGTGTACAGTTTATTTGGAACACAGAGTGCCAGAAGGCCTTTGATACTTTAAAGACTAAGTTGACTACAGTACCGGTTTGACTATTTCGAGCAGTGACAGGAGTACGTTGTTTACACAGGTGCATCATTGGTAGGTTTAGGAGGCATCTTGGTGCAGACTCAGAGGGTAGAAGCATATACCTCATGACAATTTAGGGGGCACGAGCAGAACTACCTCACTCATGATTTGGTGTTAGCAGTAGTGATATTTGTACTGAAGTCACGAGGCATTACTCATATGGAGTGCAATTTGAGTTGTTCATCGACCACCAGAGTTTGAAGTATCTTTTCTCCCAGAAGGAACTCAACCAGAGGCAGCGACGGTGGATTGAGTTTATTTAGAACTATGAATTCGTGATTCTGTACATCCAGGAATAATTAAGATGTACAAAGACCTAAAGAGACACGTTTGGTGGAGTGATATGCATAGGAAGATTTCAGAGTATATACCTAAGTGTCTTACCTGTCAGTAAGTGAAGGTGGAACATTAGAGACCGGTAGGAACACTTCAATCTTTTCCCATTTTGAAATAGAAGTGGGCGGACCTTTTTATCAACCTTATTGTAGTGTTACCAAAGTCGAAGAAAGAAAATGATTCTGGTTGGATGATAATGGATATACTAATGAAGCCCGCATATTTCATTCCAGTAAGGACTACTTATACCGCCGAGGCATATGCGAGGATATTTGTTTGCTAGATAGTTTGACTTCATGGAGTTCCAGACACGATGGTATCGGATCGAGGTAGTAAATCAGATGTTGGGGAACATGTTGCGGGCTTATGTCATTGACTTTCAAGGTAGATGGAAGGAATCATATTCCACTGATAGAGTTCGCTTATGACAACAGTTATCAAGTGATAATTGGTGTGGCCCCGTATGAAGCATCGTACGGGAGGCCTTGCAGATCGCCTATATATTGGGTAGAGCAGGAGGATATTTTAATGCTTGGGTCAGAGCTTATGAGATAGATTACTGAGAAAGTAACATAAATCAGAGAACAGGTTCTAGCCGCTCAGAGTCAGCAAAAGAGCTATGCAGAAGATCACCTATATGTTGGGTAGAGCCGGAGGATAGTTTAATGCTTAGGCTAGAGCTTATGAGATAGATTACTGAGAAAGTAACATAAATCAGAGAACAGGTTCTAGCCGCTCAGAGTCAGCAAAAGAGCTATGCAGATAAGAAATAAGGACATTTAGAGTCTTAGATTTGAAGAGTTAGTTATGCTGAAAGTATCGCCTATAAAAGACGTTCAGCGATTTGGAAGGCGGAGGAAGCTTGAGCTGAGATATATTGGACCGTTCCGGATTTTAGAGCTTATTGGAGCTATTTCATATGGACTAAACTTTCCAGCATCGATGTCTAGTGTACCTAAAGTAATTCATATTTCAATGTTCAAGAAGCAATTACATGATGAAGAGCAGCAGTGAGTATTGAACACATTAGAGATTTAACTTCAGGATGATCTGACTACGATTGAAATCCCAGTTTATATACTTGCTAGAGAAGACAAGAAATTTAGAAACAGTATATTTTTTTTCCTTTGATGAAAATTCAGTGGAACCAGAAAGGAGTTGAGGAGGTTTCTTGGGAGCGCGATGAAGGCATGCGTCGCGACTACCCACTGCTGTTTGAATAGGTAGATTAATTTTTTTTTTATGATATGTGTTTTATATTATGTTTACAGCTTGGATTATATTTACATTTAACACTAGAATGTGAATATTTCCGCCTAATTCTTAATCTTTTGGAACACATGGTATATATATGGGGGGTTCCTTGTTTGGATTTTTCACCCGATGTACTAGTTCCACTAGATTAGGGATCGAATGGGAGTATTACCATTTTAGATCGTTAGGTATAAATATTTCTATATGTTCATCTAGAAGTTCATATTGCGAGATGCGTACGATTTAATTCTTTTAAGGGGGGAAGAATGTAAAACCCCGAAAAATTGAATATAGTGTGATAAATAATCATAAATATGTTATATGGTGAAAATAATGTATTTTGATGTTTGAGTATGATAAGAATTGATTTGAGATCAATTCAATGTATATTTGTGAATATATGAGTGTAAACAAACAAAACATGCATAAAGGCCAAGAGTGAAAATCTGAGAATTTTAACCAGTTGAGAGTTTTTATATTTTTCATGCTGATTCGGTTAGAATCTGAAAACGTGTATAATACCAAAGTTGTAGGTCTCTTCAAGAGCTTTCCAACAAATCTTAGATCACCTTATTCTGAGGTCGTATGAGAAAGGTATAGCCAAAATATCGAAGAGAATGTTCCTAGTCAGAATGAATTTCCAGTTTCAGGTTTCGGGTTTCGGGTTTCGGGTTTGATGCCATATATATATATGTTATATCACGAAAATCACCTTTTTTTCTTCTGTTTTACAAACCCTAGCAGCCCCCTTCTTCTTCCCCAAACCTTAGATCTGTTCTTGGTGATTTTTGAGGAGTTCGGAAGAGTTTCAAGGGAGTTTCACAGATCTGATCAAAGGAGGATCATCTCCAGGACAGTTGTCAACATCTAAGGCGAGTATCATCTCGCCCAATCCCTCACCCCTATTTTCTATGGTTTTCTTCTGATTTTTCATGAGTTTTTGATGAGCCAAAAAGGTATTTTTTGTATAAAAACGAGTTATTTATAATATAGATTGCAAGAATCAAAGGTTTTAGTTTTCGAAGTTCACAAATGTTCTGTTAACAAAGATCTAGATCTGAAATTTGCCTAAGCAAGAGTTAAATCGTTTT